TAGTTGGAGGAAGGATCCCACCAGGGTTCAGTCATTTCCGTTTCCTCTGTTGGACCATAAACCAGCTAATATTGTTAGCAAGAGGGAAAACTTAGGTCCAAAGTTAGCTGTATCAGTGAAAGCTGCAGAGAGAGGCCATTTTTAAACACCACACCCATTTTCTAACATCCCAGGACTTGAGGTTCTGTGAGAAGACGGAGAACAAACTGACCCAGATCACTGAGGTTGCAGTACGCTCCCCACTCTGGAGCGCTGTTCCTGAACCTCTTCTTGGGCTTAATCTGGGAAAGAAACCAGATAACAAATTAGAACAGAAAACATTCCTAAGAACAATCCAGCTCTTTCCTTGAGAACTCCTGATGTTGATTTAACCCAACAGCTGCTAGAATTTCATGAATCTTAATCGTTCTTCTGCTGTATGACTGCTGCATAGTGTTACCAGGCAAGCTGTTATCTGGTTATACTTAAGGAGGCATCCATGTCTGTGCTGAATGGATCATAAATGGAAGGATAAGAGTCTAATTTACATATTTTAAATATTCATGAACATCTTTAAAGTTTTCTTCTTCACAAACTCTGATTGTTCATATTTGTAGTCATATACTGAAAGACAGATGATGAAAACAGGAAGAGGAGAACCTTTAAGATAGAGTTTTCTAAGGAGTTCTGAAAAGTTGCACAAACATCCTGGAACATTTAACGTTTTCTAATGTTTTAGACACAAACGTCCGTAAATTTTATGTGAAGGAATGATGTGAAGTAGGGCAGGAAATTAAGTCATGGTTTGAAACAAGCCTTAGTTTAAAAAGTGTTGAATGCATTTAAACCTAGAGAGGAACCAATAGAGGAACCAATAGAGGAACCTTAAGAGGAACGATGAGAGGAACCTTAAGAGGAACCTAGAGAAGAACCAAAAGAGTAACCTAGAGAGGAAACTAAAGAGAGTCCTAGAGAGGGACTTGGAGAGGAACCAACAGAAGAACCTAGAGAGGAAACTAAAGAGAGTCCTAGAGAGGAACCTAAAGAGAGTCCTAGAGAGGAACCTAAGGAGGGTCCTAGAGAGGGACTTGGAGAGGAACCTACAGAAGAACCTAAAGAGGGACCTAGATAGCAAACTAAAGAGAGTCCTAGAGAGGGACCTAGAGAAGAGCCTAGAGAGGAAACAAAAGAGTAGCCTAGAGAGGGACTTGGAGAGGAACCTACAGAAGAACCTAAAGAGGAACCTAGAGAGCAAACTAAAGAGAGTCCTAGAGAGGGACCTAGAGAAGAACCTAGAGAGGAAACTAAAGAGGGACCTAGAGAGGGACTTGG